CCCTCAGTGCTGGCTCCACGAACAGGGTCTTGTACCCCAAGTCGAGGGCCCACCACTGGAATACTCATATCCATTGCCCCTGATAGAAAAGCAGGACGGGTCTACCTAACCGAACGGGGCTTCTTGGTGACGAGAGGCTGGCTACTCTCCCCTTCCTCGACCACGACCCGCTTCCCTTTGTGCAATCGCACTTCCATGTCAAGTAGGGCAATTGGAGTAGATGTATGTAGTGGACCCTGCACACCAAACAAACCCACCTTGACATGCTCCACAACATGATCCAGTGGGGGGGCCATTACATGCCTTGGACGAGGCTCCACCACCATGAACATTTGAAATCTACTGATAAATGCGCAAAGATAGTCACGATGGAATGTGCTACAAACTTCAATGCGTTTATACCCCTCCAATGTATGAGGAACTGCAAGCCTAGGCTGTCATAACCAAATTGGTGCAGGAGGCAGTCCAGACGATAAACACTAGATTGAGCCTCCCCTGACCTGTCCAAATAACAGAGGACCCCAGTCCATAGTATCAGACGGGCGTCCCTAACAACAAGATTATCAACACTGATGGCAAGCTACTGGTCACCCCCTTCGGAAACGTCCATTCCCACAGAATGACATGGAATGGRCCACATAATCAACGTAGTGGTGAGCCACAAAGCTGTCCAAACTGGCAAATGGAGCTTCTATCTTGTTGGCACCAAAACCCTTGCCCCTCTTTGTATTCAATCATTGCTTCCCTCAACAAATGTCAAAAGAAACCTGTCGAGACTTTGCTTCATCCAGTGTGGCCACATGAACATGAAGAATGAAAGCAGTAGTCAAAACCGCCAATGTTAGGAGCCGGGTGCGCAATCCATAGTCAGGGGCACCGGGGAAGAGGAATCTGGAAGCCACATAAAGAGTGAAAGCAGCCAAGTGACACTGACTGTTCATCTTCCGCACCATGAAGTTACTACCACCATGGTACTTGAACTAGTACTTCATCCACCCGTCAAGCGTTACCTTACCACGAGTAGAGGTAGAGTCCATCTTCAACTTAAAGTGGTCTATCTTGGCCACCAACTCCTTATACATCGGAACCAATTCCCCAGGGATGCTTTTCGGGTGCTAGAGATGACCCATAGATACAATACCAACCAATGGCAACGCCATTAAAGCCATGACATCCTCCATGGTAACACCAAATTCTATGAATGCACCAACAAAGGTGTGGGTACAGCAACACCAATGTGCCACCAACGATTCCATGAAATCTACACCATCACCCCCTTGAAGACCCATGAAACAGTTGACAAACCTCAACAAACCCACATCACGCAGTAGCTTGCAATACATGGGGTTCTCAAAGATAAACGACTCCCACGAAGTATAGCTGGTGGAGACTTCAGGGCCCACGGTCCTAGGCTCTGTGCAACGGTAGACGACTTTGCATGCTTGTCACCCATACAGAAAAAGGAGCTCTTTGCCTTAAACGATGTCAAAGGTGTTGTCCTTACCCATCACCACAGGCACCGGAGGCCAGAACCCCCTCCCAAAATCATCTTCCCTTGTAGACTTGTACTCGGAAAGCAACTTTGTCGTATCTACTTCTCGGACGAAGTTCAGGAGCGGACACACCTCCTTCGCCACTCTTTCTCGTGCACTGGACTTCTCACCTTTGCGAGAACCCTTAGATTGCTTGTGTGGTGCCATTGAATACAAGAATTACAGCAACCCTGAATGGAAAACACAAGAAGTAGAAGGCAATGGGGTCACAAAGTAGTCACAACACTAGCAGAACAATAGCTCWGATGAAAACGAATGAGAATAGACCACCTCCCATTCCGCTTTTAAAGATGATYTTGAAACCATATGGCAACCGAAACAATGTCATATAAAAGTGACAACTGCCAAATTATTCGTCACCTTTCCATTGGGAGATGTACCATCACGTCGATGTCCCAAATAAAAAGGAAGCGAGTTAAAATTTATATAATTCAAAATGTAACTGTCGAGTGTTCATACCTGTAGCCTAAACAATTGCGATTTTAGGTTAAACCTTTCTGTCCAGGGAGTGCTCACCCATCATATTCGTGAACGCCAAGGTACCGTGASAGTCTTCCATTTTAGGATAGGCCCCTCCCACATCGGTCTATGACGCCCTTATCATCTTATGAAACATTCCAACAGATCCAACAACACTTGGATAGTCCAATTTTATGGTGCGTCTCCTCATAACTGAAGGACTCATCTTCATGCTAATGACGGAAGGCCTTTAGAGAGTTCATCATATGAATCTCCCTATCACATGCACTCATATTTCAGGAGGGAACAAAATTACGCCCTAGTTTGATTTAGGTCAAACCAAAGTGGCTCCCACTGACTTTCATAAAGCCAGATTT